CAATCATGAGAAAGGAGAATTTGCATCATCTCAAAGTGGAGGATATGGCTTGGATTTTAAAATCAACAATGCCTCAATCAACACCCAAGTGGAAAATATCTCACTTCACTACATATTATAGAAGTATAATTGTTTTCATCACTACAAGGATTGACAAGAGTCCAATCTTTTGAGAAAAGTTTTAAAATAAAAGCCAAAGTGGCAAAATAGTTTGAAATGAGATTGATTAACTTTTAGTCTTCTCACAAAAAATGTCAAGGTATTATTAAATTAATTGAAGTTTATTTATGAAAATGTTTTGAAAATGCATGGACATAAGTCCAAGTTTATTATGAAAGTGATTCAAGTTTAAAAAAAACAAGAAAAGTTTTCAAAAGGAGGGATCCCTAAAGCATAAGATAAAAGCTAAGGAGAAGAACTATCTAACTAACAAGTAGCCAATACTTGACATTATGAGTCAAGATAGAATTCCCATTCTTTAGATTGAAACCAAGCAAGCAAAGATACTATACCTCTTGAGAGAACCAAACTTCAAGTGTATTAAGTCTTCACGAAAATTGGGTAGAGTAACGGCTGTATACGGGTGAATTCTAGATTAACAACAAAGTATGTAATCATAATAACGTACACATAAAACAAACAAGAAACCCAGTATCTTGAGGTAAACCCCAAAAACTCCATACAAAATATCAATTAAGGTCACAAAGTCTCCAACATAGGACAAGGTCTCTAATCCTAAGTCCAAAAAGTCAAATACTCCATAATGCCAAGTGTAATACGGTGTGAGAACTGACTTGGGATGTTTTGCGTTTGATCGCAATTGTTGCGATTAGTAAGAGTCGCCACTGACTTTTCTTTTATCCAAAAGGAAAGGTGGAAAAGAACAAGAAAGACCTTTGAGATTATTTCTTGAGTCCCGGGGGTAGATTATGAAAAGGGAAGATGTTAGTACCCTTTTCATCCATAGTTATCTATGGGCTATTAGTTGCTTGCTAGATCACTTTATTTTGTTTCAAAATGTGCTTTGTGGTGGTTTTTGAAAGTATTTCGAAAAGGCGCCTTCGTTTAGGAAAACTTTGTAATGGTTCTGGTTCGTAAGAACATATACAAAGTGTTGGACTTTTGAAAATATTTTATGTTTTGAAAGTTTGTTTTTGAAAGTGTTTGGTGTTTTTTTTTAAAAATGAGCAAGGATGTTTGTTTTGAAAGTGAGCAAGAAACTAGGAACAATCTACCTACTCAAAAGTCTTTTGTTCATTTCTTCATTTCCTTTGATATTGCTATCTTACCATTGATTGGTAAGAAGCCTTATCTTTGGATGTAAAGGGACGGGAGTGGGTCATTGTATAGTCATGATAGGAATGTTGTAAGATGCCAAGATTATAGTTAGTGCTGAAAATGTGTTGTTGTTAATAGTTATTGTAGAAATTTGGAATAAAAAAACAAAAATTGTTGGGCTAAGTAAAAGAAAACAGCGCAGGGCCCATATTATACAAACAACAACTGTATCAATTATTACCTAAACTAGCACATATTTTGCAGTAAACTATTACTGTAGGAATCAGTAAAAAAAAAAATTAAATCAAACCTATACTAAAAAAAATCCCAGATTTTTATAGGACAAAATCTAAGACAATCAAATCCAAAAATTACTAAATCAAGTCTTGGATGTTTATAGAAAATATGCAGAATAAAATGGGATGTTAAATCGAATCTTCGTTCCAATACAGATTACAGAGCAAATCCAAATGCATAGAATCAAGTTATTGAAATCAAATCTATTACAACATCAATTACAGATAAATCACAATCCCTAATTGATCTAAAAAATTCCTAAATCAAAGCTAACTAATTGTAAGAAAGCCTTAAAACTACAACCTTATAAGTACTAAACAAAATTAGCAGAACAAAGGAGGGGAGTTTTTTTAGAAAGAACAAAAGGAGAAGAAATTGAGAAATTCTTGGCGAAACGGAAACGAAGAGGAAGTTAATATACCAATTCTGTCGTTGAAGATAGGAGAGAAAGCGATTAGAGTTTCAATATATGAAACCCTAATCGCGTCGTCGCTCACCCCTTGAACGCTGCGAGAGCCTTCGCCGTCACCACCATCTACGGACCTGCAAATCAAAAGGGAGTTGGAGATCAAGAAAAAAATGAGAAGTATCGGATAAACAAGTGATTGGAGGTACGATGGAACTTAGCTCTCGATTTGCTCATTATTGTTGTTAACAGTTAGTGGGAGGTTAGGGTTGTTAACAGTTAGAGAGAGAAGAAGAACTATATTGTAAACAAAAGATGAAAAAAAATTGTGGAACAAAGTTTTATGTTCCGTAATGATACCCTGTGTGTGCGTTCACCGTAATTTGTGTGCATATTCGATCTTATCCCTTCGATCATCAGTGGACGACCGTGAGGCCAAGTCCACTGTAACACCTATGCACCCTCGCTACACCTAACCCATTAGACCTCTCTCAAATCGCGTATGGGCTAGGTCCAATTAGTTTTAGCACCTCCCTTTGCCATTTTCACCAAAACAATAAACAAACTGCACTCCCCTGCCAGTCTGCGTATTGGGCCTACTGCAAAGTATTTTCAGTACCCCCTTGTTTTATTTAACAACTAGAAAACGCACCCCCATGTTTAACTTAATTAAATTAATTTTTTTGTATTATCACTTATTTTCTATTTTTTTTATAATTATTATATTTTAATATTTTTTATTATTATATATTATTATAATTACTTAATTTCTTATTATTATTTATAACTTATTATTATTATAAATTTTATTTTCCACTTATTATTATTATTATTTTTTTGCTATGTAAATATTATTTATTTTTTACCCTTGTATAAATAATTATATTATTATTTATTATAGCATATAAATTATTTTACTCAAAAACTCATGCATTATTTTATATATTTTTGCATTAAATATTTTTTAATCATGCATTAATCAAGAATTTTTGCAATTAACACGATTAAAAAACACTTAACAAACAACAAACTATTTTTAACAATCAACTAATCTAATCAACTGTTTTTTGCAAAAAGGGTTTCAAACAAATTTTGACTTACCACGCATTTAGTCAAAATCTCCGCAATCATTATTCCCAGCCAAGTGCGAGGTGATTCAAAGTACGTTTGTGGCCCCTAAAAAACGCCAACCCCCTACGAACTACGAATTGAGACTCTGATTCCTCATAAGAGGACACGTAGGTATACGATCAAAAATCGTAGCGAGTTTCCCTATAAAAATATTTAAACCCTTTCCCCTGATTAAAATTTAAAATCCTATTTTACCCGAGCCTAAACCTAAAACCTAGTATCCTTGTGAACAAGGTAGATGAAAAGGTGCCTAACACCTTCGTTTCGTCTAAGGAAGTCCGAAACCTAGAATCCCTGTCTGCGAATTAGAGTTTCCTATTAGATGCCTTTCCCTAGGATAAAAACTGATAGTGACGACTCTTGATTTAAAAACCAGTTGCAACAGTTAGCGTCACAATTCTTGAGAAATATGCAGAAATGTATTCATCTCCTTTCATTTAAATCATCTCGTAATGCTTCCTTAGCGCCTGGAACTTCACCTACTTTAATTTCTCATCTCCAACATACAAGTTCTTTAACAATGAGAGGGGAAATCTTAGAGGAAAATTGAAATTTTTTAGGATAAATTTTGCAATTTTTCAATTTTTCAATTCTTTCTTTCTAAACTTTTCCATATAATATAAAATTATATAAAATTATATATATAATTATATATAATTTAGATTAATTAAAATTTAATTTTAATAAATGTGTATTATAAACTACAGTGTTATTAAAATGAATTTTATATATAATTTATTTTAAATGAAAAAATATATTTGAGATCACAAAAATATCCATCACATTTATGAGGAAACTTAGGATGGGAATCCCTAGTGAAGAATCTACTAACTTTACTATTACAAGAGGAAACTTAGGATGGGAATACCTAGTGAAGAATCTACTAACTTTACTATTACAAATTTTGTGAGGAATTTTATAAGGGATTTTTTGTGACGAAATAATTATCTCACAAATTTCTTCACTAATTTTAATTCATTAATGATTTATCATTTATATAGATTTTTCTTGCTAAATCCATCGTAATTAGTGAGAAATTTATTTCCCTTACAAATTTTCGTCTCTAATTTACAGTTTTTAGTAGTGTCATATCACCTTTCGTTATCTCATTTGACAAACCGAGATAAAATCCTCTTTACAACTGAGTAGTGACGATAGCTGATCATGGATCTCTGATAATTTTTTATTACTTCTGTATATCCATTACTTGGGGCCAATCAAGTATGTATTAGTAATTTCATTTAAATTTGATGTTCAATTTTTTTTCTTTGTAAATGTATAATGTTTTAAGTGATAATGGTTTTGTGCAATTACTTATTGAATTTAATATTGTTTATTAAACTTTTCAAAGGATATTGAATAAGAAAATATGAAAAACTCATTTTATTTATTTATTTACAGTTAAACAATTGCCAAAATCATTAAAATTAAAGTTTAGCTTTAGTGTAAACTGTTACAATTTTTTTTTAAATTTTGGTATTCGATCTTACGACTAATTAATTTAATAGGACTAATCTCATCTTTCACATAAAAGCTCATTTAATAGGATTAATTTAAAGGGGTAAGTTTGATTTAAGGTTTAATATTTTCTCACTTTACATTAATATTAATTTGATTTCACCAATAGTTAATTATGATGATTTATTAATAGAGGGAGTATTAAACTTATTTATTCCAAAATCTCTTAATACAAGAGATATTTCATATATAAAATACATATGATTAGCTCACATAAACATTATTTTATTATTTGAGAACCATTATCATACTTAAACTAATGAGTCAGAAACTCATTACGTACTTATTTTCTTGTATTATTTATTTATTCATTATATATGTTATGGCTTCTATAGCTTAACTGAAACATATGATGATATGAATCGTGCACTTAGTATGGCTTCTGGCCAACATAGTTACCAGGTGGATCATAGTTGCAAGTAACGAATGTTCCTCCATTATTACATCTAACTTTCGCACATCCAAGACGAGCTGAGTTTCTCCAAACAACTTGAGTATAATGGCCACACACTTTACCATTAGCACATGAATTACTATTATAATTATAGTCGCGTTTCTCATCAACCCACAACCTCACAGCGTCTGTGCCACTCAAGCCTCCGGTGCTCATCGCGAGATTCTCCCCGTAACGACCACCACCACCCGAGTGGATCAGTCGACAATCTTTACGTTGATTAGCATAGTTTTGTGCAAAAGCAGCGACTGTGTTGTCCCAAACAATATTCCGAACACCAACCTGCGATCTTGCTGCATTGTGGGCGTTCACGTAATCTGCTGGTGAGTCTTGTGCATATACAACATGATTCCCCACCATCATAAATATTAATCCCAAGACACACATTACGGAAAATGAACTCATTTTAGTTATTTTCTGAAAGACTAAATGTTGTTTGATGAAAAACGATGGGACTCTAGTGATGTATTTATACCAATATTTTACATAAAATTTAGTAGTAATTGAGAATATTATTTTTCTTGTGGTTATTCCATGACCAGGCAAACTAGGCTCTTAATTTTCATTAATTGTAATTTAATTCTCATTAAGGTAGATTAGTTTAGAGGGCATCAAATAGACTTTAACTTTGTTTTGGCTAATTCATAAATTGCTATTATTTTTCTTGTTCAATATTTGACTATTCAATAAAACAGAAATGTAATAAGAGACGATTGAATCATGAATGAAAAATATTTGTTCAATATAAATTTTTGATAATATTATAAAATATATTATATATGTGCTTATATTAAATAAATATTTGGTTCTCATATAAAATAATAATTGTGTAGTGCATGTCAACTTTTTTTTTAAAGGAGTCGTTAACATAATTGAAAAGTTGGTCAGGTTCGGAAGATTCATGAAAATGATGAATCTCTCTGAATGTTGTCTGCTTTGTATGGGTAGTATCAACAAACACTCCAACACTTGAGTTTGTTTTTATAGCAACAACACCATGCTTCAAAATAATATGTTCCAAATGCATAAAACAATCTGACATTTGGTTGGTTGGTCAGTGTTAATAATTTGACAATATCAGAGCTTGAGATTTGTAAGGCCTTCTGATTGGTCTATAGATTGAGGTTTGTAAACTCCACTTCAGTCTTATTTAAATTATTTTTAATAATTTGACAATTCTAGAGTATGAGATTTGTAAGCTCTCTCTGAGTCTAATAGTTTATAGATTGAATTTTGTAAACTTCTCCTAAATTCTATCCAATATATTAAATTAGTTTTAGTAACTTTGACAATTTTAGAACTTGAGGTTTATAAGCTCTCTCTGAATAGTTTATAGGTTGAGTTTCGTAAGCGCTCCCTAAATTTTATCAAACTTATTAAAACCTTTTGTTTCACAAATTAAGCACCTAACATTTAAAGTGATTAAGTTGGATTCTGGATTATGATAAAAACACATAGAAAATATTTTTGTTATACTCTTTAAACACTTCCATATTTCTCCCATACTTCTCTCCCTTCTGTCATCAACAAAAAGTAAGTAAATATATATATATATATATATATATATATATATATATATATATATATATATATATATATATATATATATATATATATATATATATATATATATATATATATATATATAGAGAGAGAGAGAGAGAGAGAGAGAGAGAGGATTCTGCTCAGAAAGAAAACAATAAAGTAAAAGAGAGTGAAAGAGGTAGTAGGTTAACAATCAGTGACAAGACATAAACACTTTGATGGATAATCATGTAGACTACAAACTCCAAGATGATTAGAGTGAGATTCTGACACTATAGCATAAGTAGCAAGGCTCGAGAAGCATGACCATAAGATTCTAAAGATCTTTTTTAATGAAATTTTTTCTATAAAAGCAGAGGCCATATAGCTTAACTAGATCATCTTTCTCTTTTAGGTTTATTCAGTCGTTTAATATGGGTAGATGAAAACCATCAAAGGTAGAAAAGGCTGCCAAAAATACAGTGAAACACAAGAAGCAAGCCATTGAGAAGAAACAAAAAGCTGAGAAGGAATCACCAACTCATGTTTACTTTGTTGTTGACGTAGCAAGTAATTCTACTAGAGTTACTACTCAAAGCAGAAGCAAAGTTATTGAAGCAATACAAAGAAACAGGAGGAAATATTCTCCTTCATCTGAAGACGAGGAAGACCAAGAATATTTGGATTATCTGGATGAATTGATGAACCAGCCAGAGAGATCTATTGATAATTCTTAGGTTTTCTTGTCTTCAATATGCAACAGCCTTAGGATCTATATTTGTACTAGCTTCTTATTTTGAATGAAAGAGTCTTTATGTTACTATGCTTTTATCACTTTAAAACATACACTAGACTAGTAGAGTCTGCTTAAACATCAAGCAGTTTCGAAAAAGTTTAAAGAACTTACAAAGTTAAAACATTTTTCAAAACCTTATTAGCTGGATAGAAGGCAGACACTATTTCTATAACTTACAAGATAAGATCAGATATTAACAAAAGTATCTTCCTAAGGCAATCTTTAATGTAGATTTGTACGATACCCAAGATCTTCTTCTATAAATATAGACATTTTGTGTGAACATTCTCATCTCATCCTACTTCAAAGACAAGAACGGGAAAGAAAAAGAAGTTCAAGGCTCAGAAGAAAGATTGTAAGAAGGAAATAACAAATATGTTAAAGAAGTAAGTAAGATAAGAGAAGATCAAGGAGAAGAAGGCTTCAAAGGAACTGAATTCCTTAGCTACAGGAGCATCCTCATCAGCTGAAGCTCTTTCTGTGAGAAGGACTTCATAGAGTTGGATGAAGAAGCTCTATAAAAGGAGGAACGAAATGGAGAATGGGACGGAGACTGGAAGGCTTATGTGAATTCATTTTCCAAGAAAAATGAAGAATCCTAAGAAGAGTATTCTTAAGAAACATCTGTAACATTATTTGTAACTCATCTCCTTAATTAATAAAAAGTTTCCTTTAACTGGTTTTGTTAATTCCTTAAATTATCATATCTTTAACTTGTAATAATGCTTGTTAATATTTCAACCATAAGCAACAAATAAATAAGAATTTTTATTGATAGAAAAACTATCAAGAAAGTAAAATAAACAACATTTAAAAATAAGAAGATTTATCTGGAGATACTGTCTTGACCTTGAAAGGAACATTTTCAGAGGTTTTCAGGACTCTTGGTAATTCTAACTTATCACCCCAGACTTAAGATTCAAATTCAACCTTAGTTTTTACAATTCCTTGTTGCATGAAGAGTTTAGAGAGGATTCTAAAGAAGGTATTTACTTCTTGGAAGGATAGAAGAGTCTTCTTCAGATACTCAAAGAAAACATAGGGAAGATTGATCTTTATATCTGTGTTGATAAGAAGAAGAAGAAGAAGAAGAAAAGACCTTTCATAGCAATCTAAGACATCTAAGACATCTATATTCTTGTTTTTGGCAAAAAGTTTGTGGACAGAATTTGATACCAGGCTAATGCCAAAGGTTTAAGATTAGATGCCTTAGAAAGGTCATATGAATCATTAAAGATAGTGAAAAAAGGAAGATATTATTTCCAAGGCATCATATATGGAGTAATTCCTTCACCCTCATAGTCTATTGCCTTTGCAATGGTAGTTGGAGAGATGATGATAGGTATACCAAATTCTTTAGAACGAATGACTTATTTCTAATACAACTTTTGGATAGATACACCCACCAAGAATTCCTTAACTAGATTCGGGTAAGTAAGACCGTAAATCATATCAAATTACTCATTCCTTTATGTCTGGAAACAACCCTCTAAAGATCAAGATCGTGAGCCATCCTTTCTTCAAGGTTAACATGACCTTCAATGATAACAACCAACTGGTTCTCCATATCCAAGATAGTTCAAGAGGTTATCTCAGGTGATGAAAAGATGAAGAGTGTTTTAGAAAACATATAGAAAAAATGAAAAACTAAATTTTGAAAGCAATAGAGAAGGGTTCTTAGAGACGCATTCGGGAGTAATGTAGGACAACAGTCTTTGCTTATGGTTCACTCAAAAATAGTCTTTAAAAGGTTCAAAACAGTTGAGAAGTACAAAAGAAATAAAGATTTTTAAAACAAAACATTTTAAGAACCATTGAAAAGATAAGACATAAAAAAATGAAGATGACATAAGGAGTAGTACGAGGAATATTAAAGAGGTGCGCATCATTATCAAAAAGTGTTAACCTTGTAGCAACTCAGTCATATAGATAGTTATCAAATACATGGAGTCACAAGAGAGAAAAATGTCATCACCTGATATCATAGTTTACACTCTGCTCAAAATACTTGTGTTTCACCAATGAGTAGAAGGTTTCCACAACTGAACATTTCTCAATTATATTCAGAACATAGTTAGCATAACGAAATTCAACTAGCCGAGCTTATCAGATTCTTTGAGAATTCCTTAATTGCTATTAAGTAAACTGCTCTAGAGTCTGATTAAAATCTTGAACACAAATAGACACTTCATAATATACCATGTTTATCAGCTAAAAGGTTAATCAAAGAGAACACACCTCTTGAATGAGCTTTTGATCCTTCTTGATGAAAATCTCCTTTAATAATATGAGTAGCATGATTTCTACTGGAGTTGCTCAGCTCAGACATAATTAGTATTTAAGATTTGAACTTCTTCCATTGGGTGCTAAGACTAATACATGTATATTCTATTATCTTTGGTTAATTACTTCAGTTTGTTCATCTAGCTAATTTTCAAATGCCACTTTGTTCTAACAATGATATTTTGGATGAGCCGAAGAAACCAGAGAATTAATAGAATCCTTAGCCATAATCTGTCCATTGTGGCTCTTTCCAAAATCCACACTTGCTTCCCCTTTTAGTGTTGGGATTTGGAATGTATGCCTTCTTTCTTTTATATCTAATAGTCAGCCATTGTCCTAGCATTAGAATTGTAGCATTGTCTCTTCTTTTAGGCATATCTATATCAAATATAATTTGAGATCTAGGCATCCATACTCTTATGGGTGCTATGTGGTTAGTTCTAACGGGTTTTTTCTTGTATTCTGTGTTTCCTGGTAGTAATGCCTAGGCTTAATCCATACTTTTAGTTTATAAAAGTTTTGTCTTGGATGAGTCTTGACATAAGTTTATGAATCCTTCAAAATCTTTGGTTCATATGTCATTTGTTCTGGTTTCTTGAAAACCTTTGACTTGTAGGTCATTGGCTCTAAATTCCTTAGAATATTTGAATTTTGAACTTTAGGTTATGAAGTGATCTGAATCTTTGATCTCTGATTCTTGGGAACCGAGTTCTTCAATACCTTTAACTTTGAATTCACAGGTGAATATTTAGTCAGTTCTTTTGAATCATTATCTTGGGTTCTGACTGGGTCAGATTCTTAC